AAAAAAAAAAAAAAAAAAAAAAAAAAAAAAAAAAAAAACAAATTTTTCAAGCAAATTTGTTTGGAAATAGTTTACAGATTAAAGGATAGATTATAGTAACTTATATTATAGCTCATATAAGTTTTTTCTGAATAAATAATAAACAAAATAGCCTAAGTTAACAGTCAAGATATTCTAATTTCGTAAAATGAAAAAAAAATAATGATAATAAATTTGTTTATATATATTTAGTATTTACTAATTTATAAATCTTTTATGGGGTTTTTTTATTATTTTCTTATAATTATGATTATACTCTTTGTTTAATTTTAAACATTTTTGCTTAAAAGATTTGAATAGGTTATCTTAACAAAAGTTTGAGTAAATTCATTTTATTTTTTTGTTCAAAATGTTCAAAATGTTCAAATATTCTAAAAGCTATCCGCTATGCCCCGTTTTTTTTTACACGTAACATGTAAATCCGGGATCTTCCGTCAAAGTGAGAATTTCCATTACCGGCAATATTACTGATCACAGGAGTACACAAACACAATGCTTTTTGCATAAAAATTGTTAAAACGGTTTATATGAATCCAAATTTCGGTTTACAAACAACAAAAATTATGGCACGACCTCAAATCCCACCTCTTTGCCTTAAACACATTCTGCTCCATTTAGAAGCAGAAGACGTGGCACGGTGCTCACAAGTATCAAGACAGTGGAAAGACGCCTCTTACTCGGATTCTTTATGGAAAAAGTTTTGTGACCAAAGGTGCACGTCTAGGTTTACTTTGGCGGTTCTGGGTCCGCCCAACTGTTGTTGACAATATTTTTTTCCTTTATTGGCTGGACTTTTTCTTTGATTTTATGTAGGTGGAAATACTGGAGGTCAAAGCCCACGAGAACTGATGGGTGGAGACAAGTTTTCCTTGTTCGAATGACAACTGATCGCTGGGCATTCGGGATTTTGGATGAATTAGCACAAGGTGGGCCATTTTATCTGGCGAATATGAAAAAACTTAAACAATTAGGTGATAATTGCAAAGATGTGCTATTTTGGATAATGGATAATCCGAATGAGGTTACGTTCGATTCTTCTTGTATGACTTAATGCATTTTTTTTGAATAGTTTATTCTTAATTTTTTTTTTTTGTTTTTATTTTTTATTTTTTATTTTTTTTTACTACATAAACGATATAATTATATTAGGTGACTCTAACTCATTGTTATTTTGCAAAGCGTGCCCTTCAATACATTCGCAGATGCGAAATTATCCAAAAATGGAAATTATGGCGGGAATATAAGTTAGAGATTTCTAATTTGGAGGGTTTCGCAATGATGGCGGCCTTTTTTAACGAAAGGATCAATGTGACCGATATAATGCATGAGATTGACGAACTGGCTCTTGAATTTAATTCCTTATGTCAGAATAATCCACCTGATTCTAATTTGACCAAATTTCGACTCCTTGCAAACTTCTTTGGTGCAAAATATCCTTCCACTGCTTCCGTGCTTGATATAGAGACTAAATTTTTATATTTAGTTATGCCGCTTTTGGAGACTAAACAGAGCAAGGCATGTGTGATGACAGTTTTATTCGAAGCATTGGCTGCAAAGGTTGGAATTGAGAACGTGGACATTGTTTCTGACCGAGAAAGGTTAACGTTCCGGAGGTATCATTTCATTAGATTTTGTGATGAAAATCTTTCAAAAATGGAACAAGACAAGAAAAGTGATGACGATGAAGATGAGGATGAAACTGATATATATCATATTGATTTTCAAAAACATTCAGAAACTGGTGTACTCACAATCGAACAATTTGATAAGCATAGTTCGAAGTACTATGGTGCGTATATGCCAGAGTATAAATTCATCCCACAGAAGAAGTTGTTTCGATTGTTCTTGCAAGACTATTGGCTTGCTCTAACCGCAATTCGTGGCTATAATCGTGATGTAATATATGGTATAGCTCTTCAACTTCACTTCGTAAGATCGCCTGAGTACTTAGATTGTACTCTTGGTGACTTATGTAAGCTTATGAGTTTTTGGTGGTCGTTTGTCGCAGCAAGATATAGATATCCAGAGGATTATGAACTCGGACGAATAGCATTGGCGGATATTGAAAATTATTTAGGTGCTGGTACAGAGGTAGAACAAGAGATGTGGCAAGAATTATTTGAAGATGTGAAAGCTGACATCGAAGGGTTAGAAGAGGATGATCGTATTGATTGGGATTTTGAGTCCGGCCAGTCAATTAGAGGCCAATTGGGGAAAAAAGATCCAAAATTTAACATTGGTGACGTAGTTAATTTTAAAAAATTCCATAGCCTTGGTGTGATTTGTCGTTGGGACAGAGGTAAGATTCGTATGAATTTTTTAGTCAATTATCTGTGCAATTATTTAAGGTATCTGTGGTTCTGTTTACACAGCTTATAATAGAGAGATAGCCGAAAATGCGATCAAATTTGTTTGGACGGTAACCTTCATTATTAAATATTTTACTATTTCGCGATTTTTTTTGTATACTAATACTAATGTCTAATTTCGGATTCTTTAGGATATAGAATCTCCGCGTGATGAACCGTTTTATGAAGTTCTAACTCATCGAGGTTCATTTATATATTGTGGTCAGAAAACTTTAGTTCTCGAGCCGCCGAATTCGGAGCGGCTATTAAGAATGGTTCCTAGCAATGTCTATGGAGACCATTTAGGTGATGAAGCCGACTGGAAGTTGGCTAAAGCACTTGGTCCCGTAACTACCGAATTAGTTGGTTGCTATTTTGAATGTTGGGATCCGGAAAATCGTAAATACATTCCCAACGAATTAACTAGAAAATGGTTTCCGGACGGATGATTATTATTTTCACCGGATAGGTTATTGCTAGTTAGCGCTTTTTAAAAGTAAGCTTTGTGGTTTTTTATGTATTACACACATACTCAGGCTATTTACCCTTTCATTTGCTATTAACAGTTTTACGAATCTTTTTCATTACTCAATCGATAATTCAAATATTAATGGCACATATATCTCGTCGATGGTTTGTTTTTTGAAACAACAATTTAAGGATTCCTCTTTAATACTATGGATTTACTATTTTAACACGTAAAGACAAACATTTTGAAATCCTCGAAATATATATTTATTGTTATTGTTTGATTCATTATAATTCGCCTGTAAGCGATTTTTTTTTTTTTTTTACCTTGAAAAAAAAAAAAACGGGCGGTAATCAAAAAGTTTTATGTACTAAATTTCTTCTATTCGCGTTAACATATTTATACATATACTAACTCCTTTTTTTAGATTATCAATTATCATTGGTAGTTTTTTTATCGTTTCAATTTAAAAATCCGGATTTTGGCCAATTCACATTTCGTATAGTTTTTAGACTTCTTTTTGCAAATCGATATAAAATCAATATTTTATGAGGTACAACCAAAAAAATTCTCTATAAGATTTTTATATAATTTAAAAAAAAAAAAATTCTTTTTTTGTAAATATTTTTTTAAAATTTTGTATCAAATTTTTAACAAAAACATGTTTAACATAAACTTTAAGAAAAAATAAAAAAAAAACACTTTTACATAAATAACGTTATTTACCCCATTAATATCATAGAAAGTTTAAGGCAAATGTATGTCAAGATCAGAGTGAAATGGATTTCAAATGCTTATTGTCAAACTTTGCTATTAGAGGTTCGTTTTCACTGTTAAATGATTTAATAAGAATTATAGAAATCAAAGAAACCTTTTAACACTGCTTACATAGTTAGGAACCTTGTTCGCATCAATTCATTTATATGTCACCTTAGGTTATCTAATATACGTGTATTAGGTTGTCACTATCGGTTTAATTACAAACATAGCAGATGATCAAGATAAATTATAAAAAAAATAGACTTGCCTTTAATTTCTCTAACTTTGACATTTTTTTTTAATTTTAAATATGGGGATTATTATACTGTATAATACCTAACACAAATATTAGCGTTATAAATAAAGTAACTGTTCGTTGATCTAGTAGAGATTAACAAGTTAAATAAATTAGATAAAGGGGCGTCCATAAGACACCTATAGACTTGTTACCCCTCCCCCAATATAATGTACCTATTAAGTGTTTTTACTGTAAATTCCCCTCTCCCCGAGATAACAGATGCCCTCTAAGAGGATTCACGAAACAGTTAATCCCTAATATTTAATCGAAAAAGACGATAAATTATTAATCCAGTGTTCTATAATCGCAATTTTACGCGTCCTTCCACCTTAATTTTTAATTATTCGGCCTAAGCGTTCTTACTGCAATTTTTTTGTTTCATGGTTATTTCGATGGTTTCTATGACGCACAAAATTGATCTTTTTTTATTTTATTTTATTACGAAGACAATCGACCTATTATAATTATACTGTATGATTGGCGAAGTAATCAAGATAGTAACGCGTTAAGTATGAAAATTGTGCGGCTATGGATCTAATATATTCGAAAATAGTGTTCGAATGGATTTATAGGCGTCGAAAACATTAAAGCTAAATTAACTGAATCAAAAACAAAGACAGTTGTCATCCTGGTGAACTCAGTCAAATGTTGTTGATCTGATTTTTATGTGCTCAGAAAATGAGCTATCCGAGCTATTAAATTTATTTGACCATAACGATAAAAAAAGGAAATACCAATAAATTATACCGTATACAATTATATTGCATTCTGCAACGATCATATTGGCAAGGAGCAAATAATTCATTGGGCCATAAAAAAGGATATATTTGAGGAATGTATTAATGAATTATCATCTTGATTTTATAGAATTAATATGTTCAGTGTTTAAAATTCGATGTTCTCGGATCTCAGAGAATACTATTTAAAATAAAGTTTTCTCGAGAACATTATTATCTACTAAAATCAAATGTTCCAATT